TATATTTATTAAATATAATTATTATTATTATTATATATCTATATTGTTATAACTCTACTGATATTTGATCTAAATATATATATATATATAAAATATTTTATAAAAAATTATATAAAAATTATTAAAATATAGTATATTTTTTAACATAACATTATTTTATGTTAATTATTTAATAACATTTTATTAAGAAAAAATTATTATACAATAACAAAAATATATAATAATAAATTAAATGTAATTAATTAGCTATTATTTAGTATAATTTAAGTTATAAATTATACTATAATTAAAATACTTAAATGCATATAATTGTTTTTTGTTATTTGTTTTTAATTTTCTACTATTAAATACAACAAATATTATGTGTTCAACAATTTAATAATAATAATATTTTATATAGTATCATATAGTTTTTTTTGATGAAAATAAAATAAAAACTTTAAAATAAAAACCAACAATCAAATTAAATTTTTTATTTTGTTTTTTATTATATTTCAATTTTTCAATGCATGCAATTCGTGTGTTTAGCAAATAATTTACTTAAATAATAAAACAAAAACTTAAAAAACAATTTGTAAATATGTTAAACAACAAAAATTTAAAACAAAACTAAAAAAATAAAGGGTTTAAACTTTTTAATATTACAGTATATATATATATAATGTAAATAATATATAGTTATTTGTCATGAAATTTATAAAAATATTTTCAACGGCTTCTCCAATGGATTTAATTTTATTGTTGTTGTTGTTGTTGGCTATGATGGGTATCATAACAACCCTTTAAGTTATTTTTTTTTTTGATGGTTGGGTATCATATTTATAATATAGTATATAATAATAATAATAATGGGCAGCAAAATAAAAAAAAGGTAGACAACCGCTTATTTTATATATATAAAACAAACGTTTAAATATAATAATAATTGGACTATTATTTTATGAGTGGATTATTTTTTTAAAAAAAATTAAATAAATAACAAAAATATATGTAATAATAATACTTAAAAAAATATGTATATTTATTTATACACGAAATAATATAAGCATATGATGCTATAATATTGTATATATTATATAATATAACAAACTAATATATAAATTTTTATGTGTTATTATATAATTGTAATAAATATTATTAATATATATATATATATAAAACAATTTCATTGTATGCATACAATACCTGTATAGTTATGATGATATAAATTAAAAATAAAATTATTGCATGAAATAAATAAATAAAATATATTTAATATACATATAGTATATCGTCTATAATAAAAACTATTTTAATTATTAAGTTTTAACCAGTGATTTGAATTAATAAATTATTTACTATATATTCATACCATTCATACATACATAACAACAACAAAATAAATTATATTTTAGTATTTAAATTAGACTATAATATAGATATAATTATTTATTTTTTAAAAAACAACAAAATAATTTGCCCCATAATATGACACAAAATTATTTACTACTACTACTAGCCCACCAAAAAAAATAAAAGTCTAAACAATAATAACTTTTTTTTAAAAAAAGATTTATTTTCATATTATAATTTACAGTATAGTATATATATATTAATATAAATTATGTCTAAATATACATAAAAAGCTACAAAACTTTTTGTTGTTGTCTGAAAAGGTTATTATTTTAAACAAATAATTGTTATAATTTTGAACAGTTTATCAAAACAAAACAAAATTCAGGGTTAATAAACAGCTGTCCCTTTCAAATAATAAAACTACCAGTGCTTGGATTCACTTTCAATTTTTTCAGCTCTCTCTCTCTCTCTCTCTCTCTGTTGATAGAGAGAGAGAGAGCTTAATAATCATGTATTTAAGATATCCAAACAATTATTATCATAATTTGATTATAAATGCCGACTAATTGTCATCAAATTTAATGATAATTATTATTAATATAGGATTTACACAATATATATATATATATATAAAAGTAAATCTGTTTTTTTTATTTTTTGTTTCTTTAATATTATTAATTGTTACTAATTGTTGTTGAGATAAATTTTATTTTATATGTAATTAAAGTAAACAATCAAAAAATAAATGTTTGTATATATAATATGATGGGAGGAGTTGTTGTTGTTGTTGTAATTATTGTTTAGTTATTGTTTGAAAAAATTACATTTAAATATTATCATTAAATTTTTTATATTTATAGCATATATATACTGTATAATTTTTACATATACTATATGCTGCGCCAAAATTAATGCTACAATTTATTTAAGTACAATATTTTTTATGTAAAGAGAGAGAGAGCACCCTATTATAAAACTGTCGGTGCAATGAGCTATATATATATATTTATATAATATATAAATATTATATAAGCAAATAGACTGTAATTATTATTAGTAAAATTCACATTTAGATTTATTTGACTTTAATTAARCCTCAGTTTTAATATATATATTAAAATACTAATAATAATAATAGTTAAAAAATAATAGAAAACAATGAGATGAGACTAAATGATTMTATATTTATAATATTTTATAAATATATTAACAATTTTTTTTAATTTATTGTAATTATTATTAAAAATAATATATTGTTAGTATTTTGAAAAATAATAATGTTTTAGACATCAAATTTTACCGCATTTACAGTATATCTTAAAATTAAATCTAAATAAATATATTTTTTGGTCGGTTTTAATATGCGATTAAAAAATTAGTAGACTTTTCTTGTTGTTGTTGTTAAGGTTATTGTTTATTACATTATAAATACTATGCATACAAAAAATATATATATATATATATAGGGATGAAATATATCATAATATATATATATATTAATATACAGTATATATAATATAAATTTATATATTGAGAGATAAAAGATTTTTTTTAGATAAGAGACCAGAAAACAAAAAAATATGTTTTGTGTTTAAAGTCATCTCACGATTGAATTTCATGAATATATTTATATATAATATTAAATATACTTTATATATATATATAATATATTTTTTTTATTTATTATTACATATTTTGTTGATTCAAATTATGTTAATATAAATATATATATATATATAATATATTAATAATCCGGTGTATGAAGCGGTAGTTTTTATTTGTTGATAAAATAAAACAAATACTACTAAATAGTATATACTGTATATGTATTATAGATTAATGTTGTATTTATATATATATATTAAAAAATCTTAAATACATATTTTGTTAGTTCATTGTGAGAGAGAGAGAGAGAGAGAGAGAGAGAGAGAGAGAGAGAGAGAGAGATTAACATATACTTAAAATACATTAATAATAATAATAATAATAGTAAAACCACTTTAACCTCTGGTACTATAGTTTTATACAGTATTTTGTTGGAAAGATCCGGATGTTTTATATGCCTTTCCTTAAATATACTGTACATGCAATGTGACTGTATCTGTATGTATGTATGTGTGTTTGGGACAGACATCTGCCCACTCATGTATGTATATATATGTGTGTATGATTGGGTGCCCCTCCGATATGTCTATATTTATACGTTATATCTATATATCTATATATATATATAAGTTTAGAAAGAAATAGATATTAAGTTACAAAAAAATATTTTAATAATAATAAATATGTATTATTCAAAAAAATTATTTTTGCATATAATTTTAATAATTTTTTTGTAAATATGATAAATATTGTGAGGTGTGATATAATATAATAATAATAGTTTTGATAATCAAAAAGCAATGTAAATTATTTATACTATTAAATTTACTAATAATAATAATAAACAATTTAATTAATGTTTACAAAATAAAATTATAAGGTATATGGTATATAATTTTTAGTTATATTTAATAATAATAATAATACTAATAATTAACTGTTATATTTGTATGTAATTAATTATATTTAAAAAATAAATATTATTATAATTATTTTTTTTTCTATTAAAAAACAACATTAATTGATGTACAATACTATTGATGTGTAAAAATTAATTATCTATAAAAATAACAAAAATAAATAATAAAAATCAATATATTTTTAATTAATTAACAGTATAATAGTATAAAATAATAATTAGCTTAAATTAGTCAATTTGATTTTAATTAATCAATTTTTTATATATAAATATCTGTTATTTTTGTGGTTTTTTTTGATAAAACATAACAAAAATATATTAACATTTTATGCATTAAATAGAGTAGATATTATTATTATTATTATTATTATTATGTAATTATAGTTACAATAAATTCAATGACATTTAACTTCTATACAATATAATTGAATCCAACAAAAAAGCTATTCAATTATTTTTTTAAAAAACAAATTTGTTTTTATTTTATTTAATCAATAGTTTTTTATGCAAAGTTTGAACCGTAATATTGTTTTTTATATCAGTTAATTAACTCAATTATTTTAAGTGCAAACCAGTGTTGCATAAAATTTATATAACATATCGATCCCTATATAATACATAACACACACACACACACACTATAATCACAATATAGTGACCAACTATTTGTTTTTTAAAATACTTGAAACACAAATAATTATTTGGTTACTAAATAAAATAATTTGTATATTAAAAAAAATCTTTTAATAAATTTATTATCATTTTTTTATTAATTTTAACATTAATTTTTTTATGATTATCTGTTAATAATAATAATTTTTAATTTTATTAAAAAAAATTATTTTTATTTATTGCAATTGGTTAGCCTAGATATCATTTGTACGGTAATTGTAGACTTAAATCTAACTTATCATTAAACTAGACATTCAATTTGTTTTTAATTTATAATTAGATTTTTTTCCCATGCAATCAATTAATTTAATTCAAGTGTGTGTGTGTCTGTGTGGGTGGGTGTGTGTGTAACTGATATAATAAACTGCATAAATATTTTTTGATTTTTTTGGAAAATAAAAGTTGATTTTTTTTGTTTTCAGACAATTGAAATTATTAACTTATAAAATAAATTTAGACTATTTTTTTAATGGCCAGCGATAGCACCAGTAGTAACACTACTACTAGTAGTAATAGTAGCAACAATGACCTACTACTGGTCATTGATGGTCAACAGTCCATCAATACTACTACTGTTGCCAATACTAGTGCCGCCAGAGATCAAACATCGGTTATCATTGAGCCGCAGGACTACCTGAAAATCGGATCAACATTCAAGTTAGTAATCAATAGATTTGCCGATTTAGGTAACGACCATATAGTGAGTCCGGTGTTCAATATCGGACTGACCACCATATGGTATGTCAAAGTTAAGCCGTGGTTTACCGATGGAAATGGACGCCACTATTTGAGTGTACACTTGTTTCTATGTTATTCCGATGAACGGTCGGTTAGAGCCAAATATACGGTGTCTATACTGGACAACAGTGACCATAGCCTACAAAACAGTCGCAGTTGCGGTTGTCTACAGTATAAGCTGACCGGCGATGGCTGGGGCTATCAAAAGTATTGCGATAGACGTTGGCTTATCGACCATCGATCCGGTCAACTGTTATTACCCAATAATCAACTGTTTCTAGTGTTCAACATAGAAGTATCGGTGCCTCAAACTGTGTCCATTGAAGACAACTATCTGCAAGAGTTGCACAATGTTTGCGGTTTGAAATGGTTGGCCGATTTCAGGATACTGGTCTCGGGTAAAGAGTTTTACGTACATAAGTGTATACTAGCGGTACGGTCGCCAGTATTTGCAGCTATGTTTTCAGCCACCACTACCTCTACTACCACTACTACTACTACTACTACCGGAGCCGATAGGCGTTGTTTTACCGGTATTATTAGCATTACTAATGATAAGGATATTAATAATAGCAATAATATTAGTTATAATAATAATAATACTAATAGTTGTAATGATTTAACTCATAATGATATCGCTATTATAGTAACTAATGACAAGAGTATCGATACATTAGTCGTCAACGATATTATGGATGTCGACGTGTTTCGTGAGTTATTAACATTTATATATACCGGAAGGTTAGGCCAGTTAGCATCGGCTGAGTTACCATTACCAACCAGTCAGCCTACAGTATCTTCTATGGCCTACTACGCTAAGCTATTAGCGGCAGCCCATAAATATGCCGTACGAGAGCTGAAATCCATATGCGAGGACATTATCTACAGAGGTGTGGCCATCGGTACGGCCGTCCAGACACTGGTATTGGCCGAACAGTGCGCGGCTCTGAAACTCAGGGAACGGGTGATCGACTATATTGCCGATAATCTGCAATCGGTTCGTACGGTAACCGACCAACAAATGTGGAAACAGTTTATTGATGGCTATCCCGAAGCTGTTGATGCAATTTTTGAGGCCATTAGTTATAAACAATTAAAAAATGTTAATAATATTTGTAATAATAATAATAATACTATTACTACTACTACTAGTAATGATATAAGTAATAAAAATCATTTTCTAATAAATCGATGGATTTATCGGAAATATTAAACTCAATATTATTATATTATTATTTTTTAATAATAAAAATTTTAATAAAGTTAATGAAATGCTTGTTTTTTTGTTGAATTATTTATTTAGTATAAAGTAGTAAATAAAAGTAATAAAATACTAAATTAAATGTTAAAATAAAATGTTAAAAAATTATTATTATATTTGTTTTTATTATAAATATTATTAATTATTTCTATATAAAAACAGTAATAATTTAATAAATTAGTTATTATATACTATATATCAATTTAGAGTATAAATTAATGTTGTTTTAAAAACATGATAATTATTTAATATTTTTTAAATTTTACACTAATTTTTTGTAGTATTCATAATATACTGTATTTTATTATGCTTAATTTGACACAATAAATAAATAAACTAATGTAATGCTTAGTAATTAATTAATTAATTAAATATGAAATTATTTATATTTGTATACACTGTATACTATACAGTATATAAAATAATTAATACAAAAAAAATAAAATTAACAATTAGTTGCATAAATTAATTTTAAACTGCTATAAGATATTTATCATAATATATAAATAATATATTTTTTTAATTATTATATATTTTTTTGCGATTAAACATTATGTCAACATCACTGTCCTTTCATATCCTGTTCCCACTATCTAACCATCACTTCACATATATATATTGTAAAGACTATGAAAAAAATGTTTTACATTATTAACCTATATATACATATATATAGTATATATATATACTGTATATATATGAAAATTATTTTTAAATATTCAAAAATATTTTATATTTAAGTACGTAATCTTTTTTTTTAAAATTTTTTCATACATTAAAAATATATGTAAATATTACTAATAATATGTTAAATCCTTAAATTGTAAATATATATATATTATATTTTGTTGTTGACAATATTAGTAGAAATCAATATTAATATTGTAAAAAAATAAATTATAAAATATTATTTAATTTATATATATATATAATTGAATAMATTTTTAAGTTTCATTATAAATTAGAAATATTATTATATAATATAATAATCATTATTGAATTAAGTCATAATTTGCTTATTATGACATTATCATTAATAATTATATACTGTATTTGGATATAATATGCAATAATACAATTATATAYATATWTWTATATAATTTACTCAATTATAGTAATGCAAAAAAWATATAYAGTATTTATTATGTAAAATTGATTTAACATAATGTATATATATTTAATTAACATAACCAAATAAAATAATTATTATAATGTTAATAATTATACAATAATTGTTATAAAATTTTTATAATTATATAACAATTTTCAAATTAACATTATAGACATTACACACACAYACACACTCATACACACACACATATATACACACCATAATAATTATAATAAATTATTACATATAATTTAATTTGCTATCAATTGATCATTCAGTAAAAAAAAATGACATTCAAGTACTTGTGTTAAGTAATACTTATTGAAAAAATAAGTAGTTTTTTTTAATGTGAAGTGGAGTACACTTATATTCATTAAACAAAAAAAAATTAGGTTTATATTTGTATAATAAATACAGTATACTATAAGTATTAACAAATTTCATGCATTTTTTTAATGTACATTAAGTGATTAATATCTATATATATAGTAAACATATTAAAAAATTATATACTAGTAAATTGTAATTAAGCATAAAATTGCAATTATTTTTTTTATATAGTTATTTAAAATGATTTTTCATATAGATGTTAGTTATATGTATTTGTTTAGTTGTTATAAATATTTAGCGTTAAATTTAATTTTGTAATTTTTAGATATTTTTAGATATTAATAAATTTTTATTTAGTTTAATTTTATTATTTTTTATAAAAAAAACTAGTGCAATTAGTTGTTTAGCAATTACAATTTTATTTTTATTTATAAAATTTTATTAGATTTTTATACAACATTTAGACCTAAAATGTCACCAATAAAATAGATATTATAATACTTAGATAACTATTTGCTATCTAATTTAATTTATTATTTTATATATAATTTATTAATATTTCCTATAAAATGATATAATATTTTGTTATCAATGTTTGATACCTAAATAAAATGCAAATAAAATTTAATTGACTTTAATTAAAGGTAAACAAATTTTTGGTGAAAAATATTTTTGTTAGTTTGATATACAAGTATTTTATCAGTAGATCATATATTATTGCATAAAATAAATTAAATTATGTTATCATTCAACAACAACAACAACAAAAATATGATGATAAGTCCAATCAAATTATATACACAACAAAATAAAACAACAAAATATTTTAATTTCTACTAACAAAACAAAATACAACAACAATTCAATGGAAATTAATTTAAATATATTATAAACTGGTTTTATATATATACTGTATATAAAGTAATATATAAATACTTTAGTATATTATATATTATTTATTTATTGCATACCATTGAGTAAATTAAAATAAAATGCTAACACAAAAATTAAAATAAATAATTTGTTGATTAAAATACATTTTATACAAATAAAAACTTTTATTATTATTATTTTTATTAATTAGTGTTTGTGTTGTCTATTATAAATTAAATGTTTTATTTAATTAGTTATTTTTGTTGCAAAATATTTTTAATCATTTGTTATTTTGTTTTTAAAAACTTTATTTCAATAAATAGTTATCTATTGATTAATAGCTCTCGCAATCTAATTATATGATTAAAATCTTTTATTTTTAAAAAATAATAATTTAAATTAATACAAAATTTTAATTTAATTTATAATTGTTTGTTTTTAAATGGCATATAAAAAAATTTAAAACAACAATTTTTTAATGATTTCACAGTAATTATTAGTAATTTTAAATAATAAACATTTTTATAAATTAGTTATTTTTTATCCAATATTTAAAGTTAATAAAAAATGCTTATAAAATATTTATATTATTTTATTAAATTTAAATAATTGCAAACTTTAATTGCATAAAAAATTTTAATATACAGGATGAGTATAATTCCACAACATTTACATGTATATCATTTTAAATATATTATTATATATTTTTAATAAAATATTTAAATTATTATTATTATTATAATTAGTAGTAGTAGTAAAAGTAGTAGTAGTAGTAGTAGTAATAATAATAATAATAGTAGTAGTAGTAGTAGTAGTAATAATAATAATAATAATAATAATAGTAGTAGTAGTAGTAATAATAATAATAATAATAGTAGTAGTAGTAGTAGTAGTAGTAGTAATAATAATAATAATAATAACTATAATAATAGTAATAATAATAGTAGTAGTAGTAGTAGTAGTAATAATAATAATAATAATAATAATAATAATAATAGTAGTAGTAGTAGTAGTAGTAGTAGTAGTAGTAGTAGTAGTAGTAGTAGTAGTAGTAGTAATAGTTATCTTATATTACCATTAGTATTTTAAGTTGACAATTAATTTTTGACATATTTCCTAATATAATCCTATCTATAATTGTTGTGATAACTCGTATAAGTTTTCTATCAAACATTAATTTCTATCAAAATGGGCATCAAATGTGTCATTTAGTTAAGTCTTTTATTTTATTTTTTTTTTAATTTTATTTGATAACTAAATCACTATATCATTGAATTAAACACTCAATAACAATATATCTTAACAATTATTTAGTGTGTTTTTTTAACGATAAAAAATATATACTATATATTTATATGTAATGTATTTATACTATACTATACTACTATATATATATTACTACTAAAAAAAATTATATKCAACATATATATGTCTAAATTTAATACTGTATTTAAATTGATAAGCAATTATCGGATATATACAACTATCCGACTATCTAACTGTATATATATATATATAAAAGTTTATATTGTATTCAAATTAGTTATTTAAATGTAAATCTCTCTCACATTTTCTGTTCAAAATCTAATTCATAGATTTATCAATGTTTTCAACAAAAAAAAAATAAAAGAAAGAAAAAGGTTTTAAAGTAACAAATAGTTTAAAACTAAAACAAAAGTTTTTTTTAAACACTTTTTTTTTGTTTCTTTTGCATTAAACAATCAAAAGAAGTTGAGTTTATTTGCAAAAAACAAAACAAATTTTAAGATAAGATGAAAGAGAGAGAGAGAGAGAGAGAGTTTCAAAACTATTTTGAAATTTAGTTAAATTGGGAAACAGATTGCGATTGACTTTATATATATATCTAATAGTTATATATATTTTTAGTGACTATTAAAGTGAATGCATCGCTAAATCTGTTAATTTATGTAACACTTGAACTGATCTCTCATTTATTTTTTTATAAGAGAAAGAGAGAGAGAGAGAGATAAAGAGCTAACTGTGTACTCAATCCTAATCTCTTAGTGTCTATAAAATTAGATAAAATATATAAATAAATAAATATATAAAGTATTTTACTGTAGATTTTTTTCATATATATTTAATATATATATAAATAACTAATAGACGATTTATTTATTTTTGTTATTATTGTTGTTTAGTGCCAACAACTATTCAATATATATATGTGTTGATATAATTAAAATAAGTTATTTTAAAATAATTTAATTTAATTTTTTTTAAATGTAAAATTTAAAAACTTAACACAAAATAAATTAGCATACATTTTTTTGTAAATTATTATAAATTAAAATTATTTAAATATATGTAAATATTATAAATATAGTTATTATTATTATTATTATTATTATTATTATTATTATACAGTAGTACAGTTATAACGTTTTATTTTTAATTGATAATTAAAAAATTATATTGCTAAATTTTAATTTTAATGAAAACTGTAAATTTTTAATAGTTATGTTTTTGCATGTTTATCAATTTTT